AAAAAGAAAACATGTAAAAGAGGCAGATGAACTAAAAGAGGCGGAAAAGAAAAAACATAAAATAAAAGGGCTTGAAAATCATAAAGAGGGTCAAGAGATTGAAACTACCGATGTAAATGAAAAAATTCATGATCTTGAAGAAACACGATGCTTAGATGAAAATGCTAAATCATCAAAAGGACAAAATTGTATAAATGAGCAGTTGAATAGTGATCAGGATGATAAGGGTGGAGAAGATATAAAAGGCAGAATTGCACAAGATGATAAAGAAAAAAGTGAACCAAATAATATTAAATTGAAAAAAAAATCATCAAGATTTATTATCTTTGTTGGTTTGTGTTTATATGTATTGATCTTTTATATTTTTTTTTTCCATACAAATAATAAAATTCAAAATCTATTATCAAAAGCTAATTTACCATATAACACAAAAGATGAAGAATTATCAAAGCATTTTGAATCTGCAGGTATGTACTGAATACATAAAATTTATAACTTTATTTCTTTAATAAATTACCAGCATTTTTTTTAATTTACACATCTGATCAGGTGTTCCTTTATCAATCCGCTTAATTACTGATAAAAATACAAAAAAACAAAAGGGATTTGCTTTTATTGAGTTTGATAATTCACAATCTATGAAAAAAGCTTTGATATTTCACCACACAATTTTCAAGAAAAGACAGGTATAAAAGTTAAAATTAAGGAGAATTGACATTCTTATTATAAATTTACTAACTTTATATAATTTTCTTAGATAAGAGTCGAATTAACGGCTGGTGGCGGCGGTAATAAAAGCGAAATCCGCCGTAAAAAACTTGAAATAAAGAAAAAGCAATTAAAAAATGAAAGAGTTGGCATCTGTTTTTATTTATTTTTTTTTAACATTTCATTTATGTATTAACAGTGATTAATCTTTTTTAAATTCATAGCAAAAGTTTCATAAGACTTATATTGCGCCCGCAAAGTCTAAATGTCCTCAAGTTGATGATCATAATGAATCAGCTTCAATGTTAAAAGCCACTTCCCAACCTGATCACAAGGTACAAACTAAAATTAAGAAACCAAGATTAAAGGGTTCAAATGCTATTAAACTTAATAACGTTAGAGCCTTTGGATGATACAGTTCTTTAATGCAATTTTACTATTAACGTTACATAAAAATAGTGGTTTAATTTTATAATAAATTTTATAAATTCTATATTCTTTTCATTTACATCTAAGTAATTAAAATAATCTACTTTAATTATACTCAAATGATTATATTATAATTATTTAAAATCTCGATCTAAGGATTTCTAAATGGTTTATAGAATTCTGATCTAAAGTTAACAAATAAAACCAAAGTTTATTAAATCATTTAAATCATAACAATAATCATCTAAACCCATCTATATTAAGCCACGTTTTTTCATCTTTGCACATAGACTTGACATATAAACTTCTGCAAATGAAGATGAGTAATACTATAACAAAAAAGGAAGAAATTAGTTAAATCAATGATATAATTTAATAAAATACTGTAAAATTAATACTCACTTCGTGTTCTGAGTTATGTGGTCCAACAAAATTGTGTGCCAGCTCGTGGCAAAATGTCATAAACCAATACGATATGGTATCAATAGACGGTCTACTTGATTCGACCTCGTCATGTAATCCAAGATAAAATCGAAAGTTAAAGAATAAAGCCTTTCCGCGATTGAAAGCAATTGAATTCGAAGTAATATCATAAAATATATGAATTGCACTTTGTGGAATTGCAAAGACTTCACAAAGGTCTTTGAGTATGTTGATAAATCGAGTTAATGCTGGTGTTCTAAATATTTCTGAATGATCCAAATTTTTTTCGATGTAAAGTTCAATTCCGTCATTGGTGCCCACAAAGTCGAGCGAATGCCCTGATTTTATCGATAAAAATTAATCAGTTTGTCTAAAGTGTCTTGAAAATTATTAATAAAAAAAAAAAAACAAGTACCTGGTAACACGTCACAATAACTTGTTTGACTCTCAGTAACAACATTAATTCCCCCTTGATCATTCACTGAAGCTCCCGAATTAGGACGACAAGACTTAATAGCGTCTTTTAGTGCGTTACGAAGATTCTGGGTAGATTGTGGTGTAACCTTAATAGATTGTGTAGGCTGTATTTTTTGTGGTTGCTTCTGAATTGATGTTGGTTTTGGTGATTCACTACTAGTCGACGTAGAACTTGTTGGAAGAAAATCAGACAAAGACTTAAGGATACTCCCGCCCCAGCCAGACTTTCTTGTTCCCAGCCTATCATCCTCGTGGCTAGAAATTCCGTTAGGTTGGGGTGTAGGTCCGTTAGGTTGTGGTGTAAGTCCGTTAGGTTGTGGCGTAGGTCCGTTAGTTTGTGGTGTAGGTTCAATTTCTGGATAATTCGCTTCCACCAATTTGTTAGCAACTTTCTGTAAATGATCGGTCTTTTCTTGAGCCAAACATTGACGAATATAATTTGGATCGCATTTTGGAAACATTTCCTGCAACTGAACAGCATACTCTTCAATTTCTGGTGCAAGTTTTATAGGAGAAACATTCTGACTCGGATTAGACATAACTTGCGGTTGGACCTCAGGAGCTATAGGAGCTTTTTGAGTCTCGTATTTCTCGGCAACGCGCATCGGCTTTTTATAACTTAACATGATACGGTCAACTGGATATCCTTTACGCTTTAAACTATCTAAGGGTGTGGTCAGCAACATCGCTAAATGAGAGATATCTTTCCATTTGCATTTCTTGAAAATGTGTCTTCCAAGGTTCGATGCAATGTCGAGATAGTCCGGTTCCCCAGGAGTAACATATAAAATCCACGAATTATTAACTCGCGTATCTTTATAAATACATGAATATAATGGCTCAACTTTTATTTGATTATTTGTTATAAGCTCGTAGGTAGCCTCAATCTGGCTGGTCTCCATTACTTTTAACTTTTGAACCCAATCAACCGACTGCTTGACATCATATCGATGAATGTCATGGTAGAATAATTGTGCTCTTTCTCTAATTGTTTTTTGCAGTCTTGCAGAACCTGTAGAAGCTGTTGGACTGCCTTTTACTTGTACACTTGACCTAACACTTGCAGACAACGAGCGACTTCCTAACAACTTGAAAAAAAAAAAAAAAGAAAAGCTTCTTAATAAAATTTCAACAATAATAATAATAAATTAATGCATCATACCTTATAAAAATTTTCCAAAATCTCTTCCATAGGTGCAGTCAGAGGGTTAAAAACATGCTGAAAATTTGTATCATCATTTATAAAAATATCTTTTGCAGGGGCCAAGATATAATGATCAATATCTTGGCCTTTACTATCAAAATTTTCTTTGTCTGCTTCGATCTCATTCCTTTTTATGCCAATCAGTATAGGGGCGCGACTCATATCAGCAAATAACGATTTATTTCTAGAAATAGAATTGAAATTGACCGCAATATTACGGAGGACAGTGAGATATTTCTCCACATTATCGCCGACAGAATTCCAAAATTCATGCGAAGACTTCACTAGGAATTCTGCAAATTCGGTCGGAGATGGTTCAGTTTTAACACCGCAACCAAGCAAAAATTTATTTGCTTTTTCTCCAAAATCTACATAAGAAAAGAATTCAGCATAGCTGTAATTGTAATTCGTAGTCAAATTATTAGCAAAATT